ACACACACACACACACACACACACACACAAAATAGGGGGGGGGGGGGGAAGAAGACATAACAACTATAATTCCTTGAAGTTGATACGACAAGCAAACAGAAAGGATGTTGTTGGGTGGGAGTGGGGAGAGGGAGGAGGGAGGGAGGTTTCGGTAATGGGCCACAATAATCAACCACATTGTATATCGACAAAATAAAATTTAAAAAAATAAATAAAATAAATAAATAAAATAAAAACAAAAGAATAATCTGCTATTAACGTTTTAGTTGTAAATTACTCTAAAAAATAAAAGCCATCCCTAAATGCAAGGATATACTTTAGGAATGAAGATATGAGTACACAAGTACTATTAAGGAAAAAAACCACCTTTCTAAAAGACAGCAATCTTATTAATAACTGGAAAGCCATACATAATGTGGCTTTATAACTGTTCTACCTACGTAAACTCTGCTGTCAGCATACTATTGAAAATTAGGGTACAATTTCTGTACTCAGGGTACAGTATTTCTGAGAGTCTCAAAGCATATGTAACAGACTTACTGTGTCCGGAGACTTAAATGAACTTCCATCATGGCTGGGATGAGGTGAAGTGGTTTCCGCAGTACAAGGAGATTCTGGACTTGGTACAGGAGAAATACGGCCCAAGGTTTGTGCAAATTTAGCTTCCTTTTTATTTGAAACAAGATAATTGATATCTTTGCTGAGAAATTCTTCAACTCGCTAGAGGAAAAAGTATTTTTAAGTAAGTCATAAAAGCCATAAACTTTCACGTGCTAGGCACAGTGTAAAATTCTAATTTGATACAATTCACAATCTTGTACATTGGTGTTTTTTTATACTGTATTTTTCTGAACCCAGAGATCTGAAGAAGTGTAATGGGAGTTCCAATAACAACAGTAGCATGTGTTAGATACTATTCTTAGCTACTTTATATATCCTTAGCTACTTTTTATGTCCTAATTAATTTAATCCATGTAACAACCACATGGTACTAATAGTATCCATTTTCAGAAGACACAACTGAAGTGACTTGCTTGAGATCATACCAGTAGTAAATAACAGAATCTGAACACAGGTGTTCTAACTTAAGCCCACGATCTAAAGCAGCAGTGTTTAGCAGAACTTACTGCAATGGTAGAAATGTTTTTGTCTGCACTATTCAATAAGGTAGCAACTTGCCACGTGTGGCTACTAAGCACTTGAAAGGTAGCTAGTGTGACCAGGTGACTGACTTTTAAATTTTATTTAATTTTAATAAAGTTAAATTTAAATAGCCATATGCTGCTGTTGGCTAGTGTACTGGACAGCACAGCTCTAATCACTGTTATAACACCTTCCCCTTAAAGCTTAAACTTACAGGAGAGAGGGAACCTTTACCCTTAAGAACACAAGTTTGTTGGAAGAGAATTTCCCTGCTAAAATGTTTGAAAACCACAACTTAAATTCCTGAATTTATAAACACATGTACCAAAGACAATGTAATTAAAGATCATCCACATCCAGGGGCAGGAAAATTAAACTAAGTAGAAATAAATACGAGGTAGATTTATTCCAGGAATTATAGACTCAAATGCCTAAAAGGGCCTGGAGGGAACATAAACAATTTAAACACCAAATACTGTACTCATTTTCATAATTACAAGGCCCTAGCCATGCCAGAGTTTCTAATTTTGCAAGAGAACCCAATCTCCTACACATTTTATTGTGATAAAATATACATAACATTTACCATTTTAAACATTTTTAAGTGTATGATTCAGTGGCAATAAGTACATTCACAATGTTAAGCAACTGTTACTACTATCCATCTCCAGAACTTTTTCATCACCCCGAACCGAAACTCTGTATGCATTAAACAGTAACTCCCCATTCTCCCCTCTCACCAGTCACTGGTAATCTTTATTCTACTTTCTGTATCTGTGAATTTGGCTATTCTACTGGAATATAAGTGGAATTCTATATTAGTCCTTTTGTGACTGGCTTATTTCACTTAGCACATTGCTTTTAAGGTTCATCCATGTTGTAGCACATATCAGAACTTCATTCCTTTTTTTTTTTTTGCCTTTTTGTGACCGGTAAGGGGATCGCAACCCTTGGCTTGGTGTTGCCCGCACTGCACTGTGCTCAGCCAGTGAGCGCACCGGCCATCCCTATATAGGATCCGAACCCAAGCTGCGCTCCCAGTGCCGCACTCTCCCGAGTGAGCCACGGGGTCGGCCCAGAACTTCATTCCTTTTTAAAGCTTAATAATATTCTACTACATCTACATACAATATTTTGTTTATCCATTTACCTGTTGGACATTGGGCTTTTTCTACCTTTTGGATATTGTGAATAATACTGCTATGAACATGGATATACAAATATCTTTCGCACCCTGCTTTCAATTCTTTTGGATATATACTCAAAAATGGACGGGCCGGCCCGGTGGCGCACTGCTACAGTGCGCCGCTTGGGAGCGCGGTGGCGCTCCCGCCGAGGGTTCGGATCCCACATACAGACCGGTTCCCACTCACTGGCTGAGCGAGGGGTGGGCGCAGCACCGAGGGTTGTGATCCCGTTGCCGGACACGAAAAAAGACAAAAAGGAAAAAAAAAAAAAAATGGAATTGCTGGATCATATGGTAATTAAATTGTTAATTTTTTCAGAAACCACTCACACTGTTTTGCATAGTGGCTGCATCATTTCACACTCCCACTAACAGTACACAAGGGTTCCATTTCTCCACATTCTTGTTAACATTTGTTATTTTCTGATTCTTTGCTAGTAGCTATCCTAATGGGTGTGAAGTGGTAACTCACTGTGATTTTGATCTGCATTTCCCAGTGACTGGCGATGTTAAGCATCTCTTCATGTGCTTATTGGCCCTTAGTATATCCTCTTTGCATAAATGTCTCTTCAGGTCCTTTGTCCATTTTTAAATTGGGTTGTATATCTTTTGTTGTTACGTTGTTACGAAGTTCTTTATATATTCTGAATATTAATCTCCTATCAAATTTATGACTTGCAAATATTTCCTACCATTCCTCTGGGTTTTCTTTTCACTCTCTTGCTATTATCCTTTGAGGCAGAAAAGCTTTTAATTTTGATGAAGTCCAATTTAAAATTTTTTCTTTTGTTGATTGTGATTTTGGTATCATATCCAACAAATCATTGCCAAATCTGACATCATGAAGATTTCCCCCTATATTTTCCTCAAAGAGTTTTGTTCTTACATTTGAATCTTAGATCCAATTTGTTAATTTTTGCATATGATGTAAGTTTTGCATGTGGGTATCTAGTTTTCCTAGCACCGGGTGTTGAAAAGATTGTCCCTTCCCCATTGAATGGTGTTGGCACCGATGTTGAAAATCAACTGACCATATATGCAAGGGATTATTTCTAAGCTGTCTTTTCTATTCCATTGGCCTGTGTCTGTCCTTATGCTAGTGCCACACATTTCCTTTGCTTTTATTTCTTACAGATCAAGTTACAACTCCTTAGTAGTCCTATAAGAGATCTTTAAGACAAATACATTTTTGGTGACAGAAAAGATAAATACACTACAGACAGAAACCAGGACCTATGGAATGAACACTGCTGAACTATAGGAAAGACAGTATGGGAAGGGATCAGTTTGATAAATAAAAAAATTGTAAAAAGGAAGTTAATAAACTCAGTTGAAAATTCACAGCTTTGGGGGAAAATTTGGAAATTAATGCCCTTAATATGCTCTTAACTTCACTGGCCTATTTCAAACCATTTTAGAGTAAAGACTTGAATTGTCTTAAACCAAAAGGTCACTCAAATATCATCTATGCAGAAGTCATTCAAAATGTGTTTCTTGAAAGTGCCTCAGGAATTGTGGGGACGGGAGGAAAGAGAAAGGGGCAAGGCAAGTGGTTCCTACTGTAGGCTTTTAGCTAGAGCATTTCCCTTTTATAAAGGCTTTACACACTGGACTTCTAAATATAATTTTGTTTGAAGGGTTCCAATACTAAAAACACAAATCTAAATAACACTAATGTCTTTAGACCATTAGACCTAGATTTAATAAATTGTTCATCGTATTTGAGAAAGCTATCAAACTATATCAGGTAGCTACTTTGTAGCCATTGATTGCTAGAGGAACAGAATGGTGCAGCAGTATGTCACTCTGGGAATTAAGAGGCAAATGCACCTCTGATTAGGCCAGTCATTTAATTTCTCTGGACCGCAAATACTTCACTTCTAAAATGAAGGTGTCTTTACTCAATGTCTAAGGTCCTTAACACATTAAGACAATCTTGATAGGTGGTATAGTCGATATGTAGGCAACCCTATAAAACATGACCTTTAAGAACACAGTCATATGGTCATTATGATACAAGCCTCTACTATTACAGACTTGTGGCAATGTTTTAGTTTAACCAAACAGCAAAAAAGTAAAATAACTTCTCAAAGATAGACAAATAAAATATCACATCAACAAGCAATTCCAGGAAACCTGTTACATTTTTTCTGAAAGTTTCTAGTCTGTCAATGAAAGGATCCATTCGGATATTCAAAGATGCTGACCTTCAGAAACTCAAAGCCAGCAGGAACTTTTAAATAGAAAAAAACCCTTAATAACCTCACTTACTAAAATTTAGCTAATATTAACCTTAATCCTAAGAAAATCTTAGAATTTTTCTTGAGTTTTCTAATTTCCTAATCATCTAATCAATGTACAAGGTAGGAAAGATGTAGTATTTCCAGATTCTTAATCCAAAATTCTGTTCCCTTAATGACATTCATTTTGTTGAGACTCAATATCTCTATCAAGAAAGAGCAATTTTAAGTCTTTGTGGTTTGAGCAGACTTTCTGTGTTTTGTAATAACATTATTTAACTGTTATACTAGTCTAGACAAATTTATAATATTTAAATAATTATGATCAAAGAGTTTTTGCTATTTGGAAGATATCCCAATATTACAACTGAGAAGACAATGAGCAATTCCACTAGAACAAGAGAGTTTCATTTCTTACACTTTGGAAACTTTGTACTTTACTACTAATCACAGAAACCTGAAAGTTTTGTCAGACTTCAAAAGATAACAAGTGGTTTTTCATTAATGATAAACAGTTGATAAAAATTTAAGCTTAGTGCTAACAGATGTTTTTCAAAATGAAAAATTTAAATGATTACATACTAGAAAGTACTAGTCACAAATTCTTCCTTTTTTGTCAGTGTATGGTTTCACTTACCCCTCCCAGATCCTTAATGTCCTTTTGCAGTTTTTCAGATACAGTGACAGAAGGTAAGTCAAGGTAAAATACTTTTCCCCAAAGTGGCTTATATTTGCATTTTTCTGGTCTGTTATCAGTTTTCAGAGATTTCAAAGACGGTCTGTTTTTTTCATTTTTGACTTGGATTCCACCTGTTATTAAAGTGTTTAGAATTAGATATTTTATGCAAACAAAATTTTTACTGTTTTAAAAAAAATTTCATTATACAATAATATTACAGAACCGAAAATCTTTATAAACCTACCAATTTAAGTCATTAGTATTTAAATGTACTTCTCTGTAAGACTACACAGAATAAAGGCAAAATGACCTATATACTTTCACAGGTCCTATATTGTGAAATAATAGTTGAATCAGCAGGAAATATTCAGGTGAAACCTGAAAGATTTTCTTCCTCAGGACGTAAACACCATGAGGGTACTTACTCAACTGCTTACTGAGCATCTGCCATTCTGTTGAAAACTCAAAATTTGTGCTTAAAATGTTAAACATTTAGTGACGCAAGAAACCTGTTACCCAAAATGATCTAGTCAATGTTCCTGAGTGCTCAAGTTTAATTTCATATAAAGTCTGTCTATATATTAAGAACTAAACTGTCCATTTCATATAAAGAACTTAATGGACCGTTAAGAACAACTAAATCACCACTCATTTCATTATTTTCACTGAAAACAAATCTGACATCCTAGCAACTGCTTTAAAAATTAACTTTCAGAATACAATTTGTTTTTAGGCTAGTGGTTACTACACACACAAAAACATCTATATGAAAAACTTAGATGCTGATTCCACTTTATTTTTTACTGAATAAGGTGACTGAAAATGGAAATTTGCTTTTGTTTCCCTGCTTGTCTATAATGCTGAAACCAGCAATGGTGTGTTTGAAATTCCAATACTTTGTCAACTTTACAAGTGAAGGGTAATAAACTTTTGAGAGTAAGACCAAAAATCCACCCACAATTCCCCAATCTAACAGTAAAGTGAAAAGCCCAAGCACATTTGATTTTAAACTGAAGTCGGTAGCCTCAAAGGGCCTGAGCGGCGTCGCAGCGTCTCCGGAGGTCTGGGAGGAAGGCAGAGCCGCAGCCCCGATCCGCGAGTTCCCGGGTCCGCACATTGTTTGCCAGTTTTCAACGAAAGGAACGACCGGGAATTTGGGACCGTGGCTGGAGCAGGCAGAGCGCGAGGGGCCGGGCCGGCAGCCGGTCCCTCTCTGAGGCAAAAACCTCAAAGGAGCTTTCCTTCAGGCCACAGAAGAGGACGGTCAGAAGAGAAAAGAAGCAGTGCGGTCAGCTAGAGAACTCCGATGAATCAATGGTGGAACCATGAGGGTAGGAAAGGATTAAAGGGACTGTAGGTGGAGGAGGGGCTTCGTACCCTGGAAATGTCCTTTGCTGTGGATCCTCATGGCTCCGGAGTTCATGGCAGCCGCCTGGCACCTACATGCTGGATCCGGGGAGGGTGTCGCGCCGGGCGGCCGCGAAAACACGGCTTCTCCGGGCGCGTTGACAGGACGGCCACCTCTCCCCTTCCGTGGGCCCCAGCTCCCACGAAATAAAGGTGCCTCGTCTGCGGGCAGGGTTTCCGGGGTCGGATACTGCTCCTAGGGGCGGAGGAGGAAGGCGCAGAGCACAAACGAGTGGGTTGCGGCGGTTGAAGATTTGAAAACGCGTCACGCGGCCGCGGCGCCGATACGCGCGCCCCGCCCCCTCACGCCGCGCGCCCCGCCCCCTCACGCCGCGCGCCGCGCCCAGCCTCGCGCTCGCCCCACGTGTCCGCCTCCTTGCGCAGCCAGCTCCGCCCCTTAGTGCCCGCTTCCCGGAGTCGCGCGTCCGACCCCCTCACGCCCCGCCTTCTCACGCCTTGCTCCTCCCCGACGGGCGGTGTTTCCGCCTCCGACCCTCCCCCATTGCTCTGTTCTATGTGCCTCAGACCCCAGATTTCCGCCCGCCGCTTGGAGTTTAGGCACATCCCTGAAGGCTCCCTCTGGCTCGGTGTTGACCAAACCTGGTGGTTGCCGTTAGGGACGCCGGAGGCCGGCGTAGTCCACCGCCAGGGTCATTCCAACCTTCTCGGTTTGCCGGGACCATCAGTCCTCCAGCCGCCTTCTCCTTCCACCAGGTACGCTGATTTCCTACAGGTCGGACGTCCAGGAGGCTGGAGACGCTGCGCTGCGATCGAGCCCATACTTGGCCACGGGACGGGCTGGGGACGGGCGGTGGCGGCAGCCCCTGCTCGGTGCACCCTGAGTCGCAGAGCCCGGCTTTCCCACGGTCATCGCCGACCCCTCACCCTGGAGACAGGCCGCAGAGAGCAGACGGGGGACGTCCAACCAAATGGCCACCGGCCCACAGCGCGTTCAGGTCGTTCTGTACCCTTTGGTACTTGGCCGTGAGCTCTGCTCTGTTAACCTTTGTTATGCACAAACCTATTTTCGTTTTATTGTGTATAAGTTTACATCAGCAATAAAAGAGAGTGGAAAATGAAGTCTCCGTCTTTTTCATCTGTATAACGGGATAATGAATTACGGTAAGGATTAAATTTAAATGTTTGTGAATATTTTAATTTTGTTTTATAGACGGGAAAATTGTTTTTGGTATATTTCTGTAAACTTTTTAAGGAGGAAGAAGATTATATTTTGTACTATTTTGCATTCCTCGATCCCAGGCCATAATAAACACTCAGTGTTATCGTTGATTTTTGATCTAGTAGTTCAAGGAAATCAGAGAGTTCAATATTACTGATTTGCAAATAGGTACCTAGGTGTGTTCTGACACCCACCCTTAGTCAGAGTGTAGAACACAGAGATGGATCAGGTTTGCTAAGGGAAATGAGAGTTTTATTTTAGACAGGTTTATGTTGAAGGGCCTGAGGCGACAATAATGGAACTATGTTTATTAAACAATTGGAGATATTTGTAACTCAGGAAAGATGTCTGGGAGAGAGTGACCCGGGGGAGGAGAAATATAGATTCATTTGAGAGACGTAATACAGAGGGATCTCAGTCACAGGATGATGCATAGAAGGTTAACAGATCTTAAGAGGTGGGAGAATGTGTAGTTTGAATAAACATTCAGTATTATAATTTCATTTGTGGAAAAACCTATTTTCAAAATATAAACTATAGGAAGAGCACAAGATTTTTATGTTTATGAAAAGGTCTTAAAGGTTGAGAAACGCTTATATGGCACATAGTAAGAACTCTGTAACTGTTATCATTCTGGTGAACTCTACAAGAATTCCTCCATTCCCAAGAGAGTTCAGAAAAGACTAAGACTTGGAAAATAGACCTTTGATCTTGGTGTTTAAGATGTCATTGGTTTCCTTAATGAGAATTCGAGTAGATGGTGAAGGTAAGTACTAGATAAAAAAGATGGGCTTGAAATTGAGACAGGTTGAGTGTACAGTTTCAAAACTGTGTCAGTGTAGGAAAATATATAGTGATAGGGAGGGAAGATTGGGTCTTTGGAAGGTTTAGAAGATATGAGAAAGGTTCAAGCATGTTTCTATTGAGGGAAGAAAATGGAAGTCCATTTTATGTTCTAGTGAAAGATGTTATTTTTCTTATTTACTATAAGGAAGAAAGACACACCCTATGCTGTTAGATTCACCCTTGTTTGCACTGTAGGTGATAATTCCAAGCTCTGAATAAGCAGAAAGCCAGCTTTAGTGGACAGTTAGTAATTTTCTAATCTATAAGCCAAGGTTAGTCTTAAAAAATATTATTAGAACCCAAGCTACTAAAAAGTAGCTACAGGAAAGACTTGGTCATTATCTATGGCCAGTAAGGCTAGAAACCTTATCTATCATATCAGTAATCTGGTCTGTTGGTAAGAGAATGAGGTTTACGTTAAAGTAGATCTTGAAAATGTGCTTGAGTCCTTCAGATGAAGGGTATACATTCCAGAAGAAATGAATTGGGGCAGGGTTATTTGTGGTGAGAAGCTTGGTTAAAGAATTCTATTAAGCAAAACTGGAGAACATTGAGCAGAATCATTGCCTCTCAATTTGAATTAAATGAACATTTTGCTGTGAATCAGGAGAAATGACTTTTATTCAGTACTGGCCTTATACCTAAGTAATTCTATGACTTGGGCAAATACTAACCTTTCTGTGCTAGAATTTCCTCGTCTGTAAATGAAGATAATACTGCTCAGTCTACTCCACAGCTTTTTGTGCCTATCGAGTGAGACCTAAACTACTTTTTCAGATTACCTGACACATATCCAAATATAGTTTTTTTATAAATTCTAATCTAGACAAATTAATAGTTCTGTAACACTTATCACATTCCTTATTTCTCTCTTTTGCTTCAGCCTTTCCACCTGGCTAGCAATTGTTTTCTTTCCTATCCATAGTAAACCTAGCATAGATTCAACCTTTATCCCCTCATTTGGGGCCTTCAATAGTTATTCCTGTTTGATTTATTTGCTAACTATTGATATGTAATCTGCTGAATGTGTTCTGTTCTTATTTTTATTATTTAATTTTTTAAATAACATTTTATAGTCTCCGTACCTGGTAATTGGAGGACCTAAAATTTTCCAAGGTTAAGTTCTTAGTTTTGCAAGTGAATCATATGAAAGGATAGGATTGATTAGTGGTTGTGCACTGAAGCCCATGTCTCAGGTGAGGTTAGGCTGGGAAACTAGGGTAAATTCAGCATTGTTAAGTCCTTGAACATAACCTAAGTGAAAGATCAAAAAGAAAAATAAGCAGAACAGCAAGGCTCAGAATTTGGGAGTGGATCCCTTGGAAACAACTTAATTCAGAGGCTGCTATGCCACTTGTGGGAGCTGTTATGGATAATGAACTAGTTCACAGATTATATCTTACATTCTGAACTACATTATAAATTCCTTTAAGGTAGTATAAAATAATCTGACTACCTACCCCACTTCCTGATTTCCTTCTGTATCGATTGAGCATGTGCAATGTGCTACATCCAGTGAGACTAGTTTACTATAAGACCCGTAGAAGTCTCATCATGTAAATTTATGAAATTTCTAATACTCTTAATTAATAATCTGCATGCATTAATGTACACCCATTTTAAGCAGTCATATCAATGAATTCTAATAAATATGTGCATCTATGTAATTACTACTACAATCAAAATATAGAACATTTCTGTCATTTCAGAAGGCTTTTTTATTCCTCTTTCTAGTCAATCTCCCTTGGTAACCACTTTTCTGATTTCTATTATCATAGAATAGTTTTGCCTGTATTTCAGCTTAATATAAATGGAATCATATAATTTGTATGTTTTGGGTCATAATTATTTTGTATAATGTAATATTTGAAGTTCATTTATTTTGTTACATATATCAGTAGTTCACTCTTTTTTATTGCTGCATAGTATTCCATTGTGTGAATATACCACAGTTTATTTATCCATTCACTCCTTGACAGATAATTTAGTTGTTTCTAGTTTTTGGCTGTTGTGCATAATGCTGCTATGAACATTTTGTATGTAAGTCTTGTTTTTGATGCTTTTCTTTTTTTTTTTATAGGAAGTAGGATTTATTAGTGGACATAAGTAAGGAGGGGGCAGCACAGTGAAAGCCCTCAGGAGTGCAGGGCCTGCCACTTGTCCAGGGAGCCATAGTTGGTGATGTATTTAACCATCCACAATGAGCTGCTTCTCAGCCACCGTGTCTTCAAATTCATCCACATTAAACTTAGTAAAGCCCCACTTCTTTGAGATGCGGATCTTCTGGTGGCCAGGGAAATTAAAGTTAGCCATGCACAGGGCTCCTTTCAATCACATGCTCCTTGTTCTGCAGCTTGCTGTGGATTGACATGACGACTTGGCCAATGTGAAGCCTGGCCACTGTGCCCTGGGGTATTTTCCAGAAGCACCCCACATACCTGTGTGGAGCCTAGGTTGGGGACAGCACTAGGTTAGAGACATGAACATCCATTGGAAAGGGCAATCTCCAAGGACCCGTAGGGCAATCCATACAGGCAACAAGCTGCATACACTACCGAGGAGGCTGCTGTTTGCAGCCATGGCATGACACATATTTTTATTTTTATTGGAATTGCTGGATCATATGGTAACTGTTTAACAGTATGAGAAACTACTGAAGTTTTTGACTTTCCCTCCAGCAATGTATAAGCATCTGAGTTGTTATACATCCTTGTCACTTACTGGATGTGAACTGGTAGTCTCTTTTAATTGAGGTAAAAATATAACAAAAAATTTACCATTTTAACCATTTTGAAGTATACAATTCAGTGGCTTCCAGTATATTAATAATGTTGTGCAACCATCACTACCGTCTAATTCCAGAACATCTTCAACAGAACAAAAAGAATTAGGTATTCATTCTCATTCACCCTTCTCCCCAATCCCTTGCAAGCATTATTCTGCCTTCTGTTTCTGTTTGCCTATTCTGAACATTTCATATAAATGGAATCACAGAATATTTGTTTTTTGTGTCTGCCTTTTACTTAGCATAATGTTTTCAAGGTTTATCCATGTTGTAGCGTGTATCAGTCCTTCATTCTTTTTTTATGGCTGAGTAAAATTCTCTTAGAGGGTGATAGACCACATTTTGTTTATCCATTCATCAGTTGATGAACATTTGGTTTGTTTCTTCCTTTGGCTATTATGAATAATAATGCTCTGAACATTTGTGTACATATTTTTTTAGAGTACAGTGTTTTCATTTCTCTTTGGTATATACCTAGGAGTGGAATTGTTCAGTCATATGATAATTCTGTTTAACATTTTGAGGAACTGCCAAATTATTTTTCACATGGCTGCACCATTGTACATTTCCAGTAACAGTATTAAAGGGTTCTCATTTCTCCACATCCTTCTCAACAAATGTTATTTTCTGTTTTTTGTTTTATTATAGCCCTCCTAGTGGGTGTGAAGTGGTATCTTTTTATGATTTTTATTTTCATTTTCCTAATGAGTAATGATGTTGAGGATCTTTTCATGTGCTTATTGGCCATTAGTATATCTTCTCTGAATACCTATTCAGGTCTTCAGCCCATTTTTTGAGTTGTTTGTCTTTTTGTCATTGAGTTGTAAGTTTTCTTTATATATTTTGGATATTATGATTTCCAAAAATTTTTTTCTCGTTCTGTGCCTTGTGCTTTTCAATTTT